TTGTGAGCAGCCTGATTGTCACTCGCCCTCCCCGAACACTGCCTCTCTCCCCGTCTGCGGTCATTGCCCACTGTCACCGCCCGCTGGCTCCCTAAAAAATAAACTAAAATTAAAAAAAAAATTAAAACCAACCCCCGCCACCCCTGCTATATGCATGGGAATAAGTCGCTTTACTCCTTGGACAAGTAGATTCTAAAAAAAAAACAATTCCACACATCTGCACCTTTAGAAATGTTTAGTAATGACAATCTACCAACAGATACTGCCACCCCATTCACACTGAGCGACATGGAAAACACGTGTTTTTCTGCGCGATATTGCACGATTGTCATGCAACTTTTTGTATTGGGCTGCAAGCAATCAGGAGCAAAATCACACGACCGCCACGCAAAAAAGGGTCATGTACCAGCGACGAGCTACAGGCGACATTGAGCTGTAAGATGTGAACAGCTCCATTTAAATGCATTGGACGAACTGCATAGAGCGATATTGCGCGGAAATAATGTGTGCGATTTTGCAGCATAAATCCGCGCGCTAAACAGCTCAGTGTGAACGGGGACTTATAGATAACTGCAGGCGCTTATTCTTTGAATACCTTATTTTTATTTTCTTCCCAGTCTGCTGACAGTGGGCAATTTAACTAAGGGCAGGTTACTAGATCTCCCTTTACTTCCTGGAACTCTGGCACATGTGACTAGGACATGTGACCATTCACATCATCTCAGGGGACGAAAATGCCTTTCTCTGTGATCTCATGAGATTACAAATGAGATTTCCCAGCACTGCTCTGCTGATGTAACCTTCCCAGGATGCAATGCTCGGGCAAAGATTACATCATTTGTGCCAAGGTGGACCAGGAAGTGGGGGGAAAAAATTGTGAATAAAAATATGTCTATTTAGCTAATGAAGGTAAGATGATTGCATATCAGCATGCAGAGTTGTATGCGGATGTGATTTTTAGTCAAAGGCGGGTAAAGGCCCACTTTATTGTGGCAAAACCTATTTTTATAGGCTTGGATACAGTGGGGAAGGGTTGAACCCTCTATTTATTTTGCGGTCTGTGTGCTCATTAAGGAGATTCATTAGGGAGACAAAATGTAATGAGAAATCCTTAATTTTAGAGTTGTCCCCACAACAAGAGGCAAAGGGAAACCTTCCAACGGAGACACTTGTTCTGGCGAAAACTGTCAAAGAAGAGAAATCCCCTAACTTTGGCATACAGTATTTCCTCTAACTTCCTGTAGTAAAGGGTACATTTCCCCATAGGTAGAAAAAACTTGTGGATATACACATTCCTTAAAATGAAGATTGTGTGGTGTGCTGCCAGATACTACTATTGAAAGGCAAAAAAAAGGCTTTAGATCAGGGGTGCCCATTAGGTAGATCGTGATCTACCAGTAGCTCTCAAAGCGGATGCTGGTAGATCACGAAGGGTGTGAATGGCGGCCCCTTTATTCCATTTTGGTATATTTATTTAGCTGTGCACACATGATTACCTATTAGCCTGAGTCTGCTGAGCCAAGCTCCCTGACACCTTTCTGGTGGATACTGGTAGTTGAAGTGCTATGTATTACATCAAAGAATATTAATTTACACAGCCTGTTGCACTGCACGGTTTGCAAAATACAGCAAGGTGAGCCAGGAGAGAGAGCGGGGAGAGACAGACAGGGGAGAGAGCAAGGTGAGCCAGGAAAGAGAGAGAGAGGAGAGACAGCCAGGGGAGAGAGCAAGGTGAGCCAGGAAAGAGAGAGAGAGAGGAGAGACAGCCAGGGGAGAGAGCAAGGTGAGCCAGGAAAGAGAGAGGAGAGACAGCCAGGGGAGAGAGCAAGGTGAGCCAGGAAAGAGAGAGGAGAGACAGCCAGGGGAGAGAGCAAGGAGAGACAGCCAGGAGAGTGAGGAGAGACAGCCATGGGAGAGCGAGGAGGGGTTTTTTTTTGGTTGGTAGATCTCATGTAGCTCATCATTTGAAAAGTAGCTCTTAACACAAAAAATTGTGGGCACCCCTGCTTTAGATGATGGTGTTAAATACAAATATTCATTTTTGTTTCTACACACACCCGATATAGTTTCACAATGAGCACAGTTAAGTTGGCCATACATCTATTGAATTTTGAAATTAGAAACTTTAGTTTTTGGAACCTTTGGTTAATTTTCTAATGGTTAGTGGATCCTAATCAATGTTTTTTTCCGTCATAGTGACAAGGAGAATTGAAGGAGCTGGATGGAAATTGTTCTTGTTCCTTATCTGAACAAACAAAATTCTAACCGTGAATGTGATTCTCATTCGGGGGAAAGTCATACATATTGTAATGTGCATGCGTTTGGCACAAAGGAATCCTGTTTCATATGTCTGGGATTCCATTCAAGTAGCCAGTCTGCACAAAATTTTTAAACTTTTGAAAAATTTTAGTTGACTCAGCGATGGTGAAATAGAATGCTCTGATATACAGCGATGGTGCTCTGATATACAATTTCGAACAAACATTAGAACAAATGTAGTTATCTTGACAAGGGCAAGATCGAATGGTATGCCTAACAATTTTGAATGAACAATTGTACTAAATTAGTTAAAAAGGAGAATTATGAGGCGAGTGATTTTCACTCAGCCTCATAATCTGAGCCAACCTGTGACAATGAAACTGTCACAGGTCAGCTCAGTAGATCGGGAAGTGAGCGAACACATACCGTCGCTCCCTCACTTCTCGATCTATCCCTGCACAGAGCAGTGACCGTCACTCACGGCTCCCTGCAGGGATTCCCCCCCTCCCCTGTTCGATCCTCCAGCGCTGACTGGCGGAACGGAGGGGGTGGGCACAGCTGGCTCTGCCTCTAGATAGGCAGAGCCAGCTGACACTCATGCAGCTGGGTGGATCCAGACAGTATTGTCGGGATCCATTCCGGCATCTCAGTATACCGTGAGTTATAGCTCGTGGTATACTGAGCTTAGGGTCACGGGAGAATGCTAGTTTGTGTCCTCCTGTGACCCTTAGGAGAACTATGGGGAAAAGCCCTGACCCCATAGTTCTCCTTTAACTCAACAACGGCAAGATGCAATCTCTTTTAAGTAAAATTAATCTGCCCTGACTAGTGATGAGGCTGGGCTTGGTGTAAAACGAGTTCGCCTAAGCCCCCTATTAGGCTCCGTTCACAACTAGGTGTTTTGTCACTCAAAGCTAAACGCAACAAAACGCTCAAGACCAGGAATCCCATTCATTTTTATGGCCCCTGTTCACACCAGTGTTTTGTCACACAATGTTTCCCGTTGAAGTCTATGGGACCAAACAGCACTGTAATCCACCAAAAAGTAGCTCATGTACTTTTTCCAGCAACAGGCATTTTTTGTTTGAGACAAAACGCTCAGGTGTGAACGGGGACCGAAGAAATGAATGTGATTCCTTGTCTTGAGTGTTTTGTTTTGCTTACCTTTGAGCGACAAAGCGCCTAGGTGTGAATGGGGACTCCGGCTCCTTTCATACCTAGGCGCTTTGTCGCTCAAAGCTAAGCATAACAAAACGCTCAAGACATGGAATCCGATTAATTTCTATGGCCCCTGTTCACACCTGAGCATTTTGTTGCGCAAAGTTTCCCACTGCAGTCTATGTGATCAAAAAGCACTGTAATTTGCCAAAAACTAGCTCATGTACATTTTTCAGCGACAGATGTTTTTCTGCTTGCGGAAAAGAAAAAAAGGCTCAGGTGTGAACAAGGGCCAAAGAAATTAATGGGATTCCTTGTCTTAAGTGATTTTTTGCCTTTACCTTTGACCGTCAAAACGCCTAGGTGTGAACAGGGACAAAGCTGTGACTGCCACCCCCTCCGCCCTACCCAATTAGTTTCGGTGAGGGGCATTCCATACCCTGCAGCTATAAGTCACAAAGGGGGAGGGGAATTCCACTGCCACATCTGTTGCCACTGATAGGGTCGGGAGGAGGGGGTGACGCTCAGTTTTGAGTCGGCTCGGGTGAACAAGGCTTGCAGCAAGCTCAGCTTCATGTCTAGCTCTGGCGAACAATTTAGAAAGCACAGTCAAATGAAATGACTCCAGTAATGTGTGTGGGTTTGGTGCAAACCGAGTTTGCCCAGGGATGTGCAAAACTGTCAATTACAAATCCCCCCCGGCCCAATCAGTTGCGCCTGGGGCATTCCCGGGCCCCCTTTTATGTATAGTTGCCAGGCAGGGGATGCTGCAACTGATTGGACCAGGGTGGACCAGGGTGTGTCACTGACAGTTTTGCGCAGGTTTAGGCAAACTCAGTTCACATCACTATTTGACGCAAGATCAAATGCTTTAATGAACGTTTTTGAACTAAATGAGTTGAATCCATGATGGCAAGTATGAATGCTCTGAGTGATTTCCAATGAATGTTCGAACAAAACTCTAACAGTGTATGGCCAGCTATATTGTACACATACCCTGCCCATGAATACATATAAACAAATGCATGACACACGTGTGCAGGGTTAGCAGCTCCAGGCTTTCCATCCAGAAGCAGGCCTCTCTCCTCCAGCAACACACCAAATATTCAGACATGATCTTATCATCCATACAGGCACGGAAATGCCAGGCTTTCTGGCTGCACACCTCTGCCTTATACATAACAGCCAACACAAGATCCTTCGGTGACAGACATTGTACACATAGAAAGGGAGATTTAAGGCTGACATTCAGGGCCTCCGGTTGCCATGGAAAGGGAAGGAAGGAAGGGAGGAGGAGGAGGGGGATTAGGAGAGAGAAAAACAAATGCTGCAATGGAGGAAACCAGCTTTCTCTATAATAAAGCATCATGCCATGCATCTACAAGCGGACAGGATGGAGATCTTGCTGGCAGGGTTGATCCAGACATCTACTCCTCCAGGGGTCTCAGGCCTGGTGGGCTCCTGCTAAACATTTCAATCCAACCCTGGTAAACTAGTGTTGCTGCAAAAGGAGAATGGCATCAGACACAGATCAGAGGCTGGCTGCTTTGTAGATGGGGTGGGGGGTGTAGAAGACACTTAACTGTTAAGCGTGGAAAATCGTCCCTTCTTTTCATGCAAAGGCAGCTGTTCATTGCCGGGAGAGGAGGGAGGTCTGGGACGGAGGGGGAGAGGCTGAACAGAGAGAGAGAAAGAGAGAGAGAGATGGTGATACACAGGCAATAGAGGAGGGGAGAATGTGTCCTTACCCCGTGTGTGACAGGCTCAGGGCAGATGACCCTTTTCCCCCACCCCTGTCCAAGCTGCAGACTGGCCACAGACTTTACATCAGCCTCCTCCTGGGCATTTAAACTTAGTGCTCCAAGCCAGCAGCAGTGTCACAGCACTGTGGGCATGCCGAGGAGTGCAGCCGACAACACCGGGAGGAAGGATGGAGCCTCTAGTGGTCAAGATGTACAACTGCAGGGGTGTGTTTACATATGGAGAGTCAAACTCCAGAGTGTTCTCATCTGTTCCCGTGCAGGCCTTTGAATAGAAATGTTCACAAGTTTTATATATAGATATGACATCAGAGGAAAACATTTAGGGCTTGTTCACAGTACAACGCACAGAAAACGCATGCTTATATTAAAACACTTTGCGTGCATTTTAACGCGCGTTGAACGGTGCTTTTACATGAGTTTCTTCTATATGCAGTGTCCTGCATTTTTCTGTACAATTGTTTTCTATGTGTTCAGTTCACACCAAAACGCTGGTGTGCTGTGGAAAAATGCAAACATGCAACATTTCTATGTCGCATACAGGAGGTCACCACAGCGTAGCACATTGCACTGCGGAATGGAGTGTATACTTTGTCAACTGACAATAAATTTATATTACAAAAAGGGGGGGAATTTATCAAAACTGGAGCAGACAGAATCTGGAGCAGTGGTCAATAGTAACTAGTGAGGTTATCTCTTTAGTTTGTTCAGTTAACCTTTGCAAATGAAAGATAGGAGCTGATTGGTTGCCATGGACAACTGCTCCAGATTCTCTGTGCTCCAGTTTTGATAAATTCCCCTCCAAGGAAACAGTTTTGTGCTGTAATAAAGCAAGGCCCTGCTACACACTGCAGCCAACCAGCGGACAGCAGCCACACGCTAAAACAGGCTGGTTCACATCATAACGCACAAACATATGCAGAAAGTGCATGCACATTGACGTGCAATAATGAACGCATTGTGCTGCATTTTACTGTGCATTGAACTGCAAGTTTACATGTGTTTTTTTCTGAGCAGGCCTCATCAAAAGTTTAACCATATGTTTTAATTGTGATAGGCGCATTGTGTAGATGTGCATTAACCTGTGCTTTGTTGCGTTGCATAATAATGCAGACATGCTACATTTTTAGGGCTTGGTCAGAGCAGCTGCACGATAAACAGCTCCATTTTAGCGTAAGACTGGTGTCCGTTGTGTCAGCGGTGTGTAGCGGTGCCGTGCGTTGTTACATAAAGCACTGCTACAAAAGGCACTGTTTACTTTTGTTAATTTTTTTTTTTTTGTACTTTTGGCTGTTTACAAAGTGTGTACACTCCATTCCAAGTCTCCATCCAGTGCGCTTGGAAAAATGCATCTTGTCTGCATTGTTCTGCACCGCACATCACACCTGCATTGTGGTGTGAACAGGACACACAGAAAATGTTGTGCGGTAACTAGCGATGATCTAGTGTGTAAAAAACGACAATCAAAGTACATAGCGCGAACAGGCTTCTGCCCAAAAAATGCAGGTCACCACTCTATATACCCTGTCCTCACTACATTGCTGGTGTGATGTGCGGCACAGAAAAATCAGACATGATGCATTTTTCTGGAGCACACTGGATGACACCGGTGTTCAGGGCAGCGCAGCGCACCAGTTACTGTGCAGAGACCTGAATTAAGAGTAAACTGTACACTTTTAATACAGTTTAAAAAAAAGAGCGCATCACACCGCCACCCGCCGTACCTCACACAGACACTAGTCCTGAGTGTGCCATTGGCATGCAGGCTTTTGCATGCCAATGCATGCCAATGAATGAAACCTTATGCAATGCATGGTGTGAACAGAGCACATAGAACACAACTGTTTCTGCGTTGGACATGGTGTGAACAAGCCCATAAAGTGAGAAATACAAAGGCCACCATCGCTGAGACCTTTCTGAAAATGCTTGCCTTGGCCTCAATGATTTGACTCACCAACAGGAAACGTGCAAGCAGCCAGTGAAGTAAGAAAAAAGTAATATTTGTATATTGGTTCCAGGTCAGGGACTGACAAGTTAAATAGATAAGTTCCGGATAACCAGCATTATCAAAAGCTCAGCAGTACTGGCAGCTCTTATATGTTTTTGGGCACAAAATCAATTAAAGCCAAACTCTGGGATAAGCAAATATTGTCTATATACAAGAGGAATGTGTTTTTTTTGTGTATTTCTTCCAGATCTGTGCAGGACTTTGTTTAGAAGTTTCCCAAAGATCTGTCACTGCTGCTTTCTCTCCTTGTGCCGGGTAACTGGTCTGGTCTGGTCTCCGCCCCTCCTGTAGTTTTCTGCAGGCAGCCTGTAGTGGGTGGCCCCTCCCACATCTCTACTCTCTGCACAGGTTATGTGCAACACATTGAAGGGCTTTGCAAATGCATTTGGTGCTCACAGTTCAGATTTATATAATTGTGTCTATTATGGACTCTACTTAGATGAAAGTTCAGCTTTAATAATTACAGCAATAAAGTACAGAAATGGATCTGAACTGACTTGAGCTGCATCCTTCATATGCAACTCATCAGCTTGTGCAGGTTGCCTCAATCACCTCTGAGAACATGGATCATGTATCTTTTTATTCGGCCTGCATGTACTGAAAGGTATTAGCCCTCGTTCACACCTGAACGTTTTGTAGCGCGTTCTACGCTCGACGAACGCTCTACAAAACGCTCAAAAATATAAATCCCATTGTATTAAATGGTCTCGTTCCCACCTTGGCGTATTTCCGCCCGTCCCTAACGCGCTACAAAACGGCCCACGCCTGAAAAGGTACAGGTACTACTTTGGGCCGTTTTGTTGCACGTTTCCATTGGGATACAGCCAAGTAGCCTTCGGACAGACGCGCATATGCAATACGCCTAGGTGTGAACGAGACCTTAGGGCAGCAAGCACAAAGCTGTGTCTATTCAGATGCTGCTGATTTTTAACCCTTGGAGCAAGGAAACAAAATGTGTCAGGTAGTCAGATTTTATTCTAGGGCACATGAACTTGCACATTGCAATGCACTTTCCATTGCACATCAGTGCACATCATAACACACATTTACAGGTATTGATGTGTTAAAGTGCGTTGACATGCATCATGATGTGTGTTAATGTGCATTGAAGAACATCAATGTGCATTTTACTTGCACCTGAATGAAACTCTTTGCTGTCTTCAGCTGCTCAACTTTTGCTTAATTTTCCATTTTTTTATTTCTTCAATTTTTGTGAATTATCTTCATCTGGCTGAAGACTATGTGGGGTTATTTTTTTAAAATTTTGATTTGCATAAAAGGCGATCTGCCTTTTCTCTGTACAGCCCGATCACCTTCCTGTCCCAGACCGTAACTGGACAGATTGATCCATCCCTCTGTTAACTCTCCTCCTGCAACATTCACCATATTTATTCCCAGAGAACTTTCTGTACAAGTCATTCTGAATTGAAAAAGCTGGTCGGATGTCCAGTGAAACTTCTTCAAGAAAAATACAGCAAGTCCAGTTGCCTTGACTTATTTTTTACAGATATACCATGACCTGGATGAATGAGAACTTTCACAGAAACTTTTAGAAGTGTTCAGGAGCTTTTCTAGGATGTGCGATAGTGGAGGTATTTTACTGTCGCAAATGCTGGACGCAAATACTACACAGTTGAAATATTATGTGAAATGTCGCAGAACAGAAATAAAACTTTGCGGACATTTTGGTCTTTGCGACAAAACTTAGTGTCGCAAATACGGTAATACGTTCCCCCAGTGTACTTTGCCAAGTTGTGGAACCTGCATAATAACTGATTGACTCCTAGTGCTGCCCCTCCCTCTCTCAGTACTGCTGCGAGGAGGATTCCTACAGGTTTATAGCAGCTCAAAACCAGGTACTTAAACTATATGCATTAAACACTGTATAATTTTTAACTAACTACATTAATTGGTGTTTTTTTTAAGTGCCTGAAGTTTAAAGCTTAAAACTTTCATTTCAATATGTTCCTTAATAGCCACAGAGGATATTTGTCCAATTTGTGTGCACCAAATACCTTTGCAAACCCAGGTATTACATTGTAAATGTAGCAATGCTATCATCGCTGTGCTGCACATGAGAGTAGAGATGTGCAAGGAAACCAGCAGGCCCCACTTACTACAGGCTGCCTGCAGAAAACTACAAGGGGGGTGGAGACAAGACCAGTCAACCTGCATAAGGACAGAGAGCAGTAGTGACTGGTCTTTAGTGCAGAAAGCTCCTGCACACTGGATGACTGCACAGATCTGGAGGAAATACTCAAACAACACTAAATCCAAGCTTAATGTAATACACATGACTAAGGTAGAATAGATGTCCTTAATCATTTTCTAATATACACCACTAGGACCACCCCCACCACCCAGTCCCTGTAAAGTAATAAAGAGACCAAACTCCAATAGGGCTTCAATTGGCCTTAACGGCCTTTTATTAAATAATTTAATATGAAAATAACTATATAAACAAACTTCAACATCAGCAAGAATCATAAACAAGGTTGCAGGCCTATGAAGGCCACACCTTTTTCTGAATCCGTTCTCTGCGTAGGGTAACCACCTATCCAGGATTCACCCCGATAGTCCGGGTTTTGAATGCTGTGTCCGGGTTTCATGGCAGCAGAAACTCAGACACAAGATGTCATGTAGACAGGGGAACCAAAACTAAGATAGGGGCTACTGGCCCCCCACTGAAAATAGTCCCAACTATGATATTTACATATGAATGGGCGGCGCTATTTGCATATGAATAAGCCGCGACTCATTCTTCCCCCAAAAAATCAACGCGTCGCTAGAGTGTTCGGGTTTTGCTTGAGGAAAAGGTGGCAACCCTATCTCTGCGGCAGTACTAAAAACATGTTGGGCCCCCAGCCGCAACACACCGCCTCGGGGACAACCACCAACTGACTGTAGACACTTCCAATATCCAAATTTAGGGGGTTATTCACTTAGCTGCCGAAGGCCCTATTCTCATGGGGGCCGAACGGCAGTAAGTGAATAGTCGAATGCGGCCGGTTATTCTGCTTGCGCCGACCCGACCGTGTGCAACGAACTCCCATTGCATAATGAAGCATCTGACAGATGCCGACAAAAAATAAAAACAATTGGGTGGAGCTAGCGGTGACATCACCGACACCTGCCAGAGTCTTCTAGTAGGTCCCGGCCAATAAATAACAACTGGGGGGAGCCGTTCGTGACGTCACGGCCGGCTCCGCTCAGTTGTTATTGTTTAATGACAGATCAGCGTCCCCAAGTCATTTGGGGACGCTGATCTGCCATTACAACTGGGCGGAGCCAGCCGTGAGATCACGGCTGGCTCCGCCCAGCTGTCATTTGCATGGCGATCGGTCGGCTTCAGCCAACCTTTCTACACGCTTCGGCTGTCACTATGGCTCAGCCGAGCCAAAGCATATGCGAGTCACTCAGCTGAAGGGCTCAGGCGGCCGAAGTGAGTCCCAGGAGCATCCAAAGCTATGGCTGGATCCTTTGGCTCATTAGTGAATAACCCCCTTAGTGTTCACCAGCTTACACACCATGAATAGGAGGACACCATACCAGGTCCCCAAACATTAACTACCAGCACCTAATTTTTACGGCCTCCAAAGAACCCACCCTCCACGTAACAACATAAAATGTCCATAGTGCAACCTCTGAAAAAGGGGGGTGGGAGGGAAGTTCGCTCCTCGTCCGTTAGTCACCAACAGATGTAGAGGGAACCCCACCCACTCAGAGCACCCCTAAAGTTCCACCTAACCTTTTGACCTGACTAATGGAGAAAGTAACCTATGTCCTGAAGCCGAACCCCATTAACCCCTTTTGCATTTTTGTCTCCCCTCTTCACCTTGCCATGCATGCCCTCCACTTATTTATTTATTTGTTTTTTTGCTCCGGGCAAAACTTGACACTTGTATTAAGACAATATTTGCATATCCCAGAGTTCAGCTGTAATGTTAGTCAGTGCTAAGCATGTTGGCAACGGTGTTAAAAGTGCAGTAACCCTTAGCAACTAATCAGACCTCACAAACATTAGGACAATAAAAGATGTTTCCTAGTTGGCTGTTGCACTTTGTACATTGTTCTATGCATTATAACATAAATTCAATGGCATCCAATGAAAGAACCATCTGCGTGACACTTAGCAACCAATCTGGTTTTTCTTTTTATACATTATTACTGCCCTTCAATGCATGACATAGGAAAAAATCTTGACTGGTTTTAATATTAGATGTCTGGATTTTCTCACAGGAAAGCTTCTGTTAGAATTTTGGCCATCTGAGAAAAATTTTAGAAAAATCTATTCTGCTCCTTTGATTTTTTTTTTTATTACTTTGGTCGAAAATGATTGTTGATTTGTCCCCGTTAACTATAAGAAAATCAAATGTTCGGAAAACAAAATTGTACTCGTATATGGCCAGCCTAAAGTAGGTTATACAAGCTTTGAAATTTATTAAGAATGGGTCCAAATTCGCTGCGTGGATGCCGCTGACAGCACCCTTCCAGCTGACATCCCTCAATCAGCTGATCAAAGGAGCAAGTCATAAAATTCTCTGCCCAATGAAGATAGCAGTCAATCAGCTGCTAGCTCTGTTCGGATATTCTGACTGTGGCCAGTGGGTGCTGTCAGAATACAAATGAAACAGCAGGGGATTCCTCGGTCAGTGCTCGTAAGCGTTGATGGAGGAATCTGTTCTATTTTTTCGATCAGTCTGCCGGTTGAATTAAAAATATAGAACCGTCTATATCCGGCTTTAGTTTGCCCTGTTTTTCCACTTGACAACCTACTATAGACCACTAGCTACAAATATCTACTGCGGCATTATCTATCTGCATTATCTTATTTCTCAAGTGTATATATGTGGAGGATATGTCTTTCTAAGAGATCCTTCTCACTGTAGTCTGTGAGTATGTGGTAATTAACACAGTGTCCCCACTCTACACAGTATATATTACTGTGCATCTCCACTATCTATTCTCTAAACCTGAGAAATGTAAACATAGTAATACTGTTGTGCATAGCAATCAGATCCTAACTTTCTCTGGTGTAGATAATAGATTATTGACAACGCCTGATTGGTTGCAATGGTCTAAGCAGACTCTATAAATATACTCTAGGATATGCAGTTCGAGTTCTTACAGTCCTTGTGCAGGATTGGATAAAGTTGTTACCTCTACAGTGTATGCTCTTGATCAAAGTAAACATGTTAGAAATCTCAGGATGCATTAAGCTCATTTCTATCAACCCTTCTTTGTCTACGTTGCCATTACAAAAAGATTCTGTAACCAAAGAAAGGATATTTAAAGTAAACATGTTATCAATATTTCTGCAAATACTCACATTTTCCAGTAATGGTCAAGGTCTCAAGAAAAGTTCTGTGGTCCTTCTAGAGCAGAAGCAGTTAACGGAGTCCAGTCTTCTAGGCCGAACAGCAGGAAATCTCTCTAAGCTATAATAGGGCCATCTGTGGGGGCTGGGGCTGTGTGAGAGATCCTATTCATGGTAGTGACTACACACCCTGAGGCTCAATTCTTCATTGTTCAAAGTCAGCAATCACGCTAGCATCACAACAAAGCAAGATGCTTTCTAACAAGAACCCTAAAGATTGCCAGAGACCTGGGATGATTTTGTCCCGACTGTCAGCTTTGGGTGATAAGCTAAAGTCTGTGACAACCCTAAGTTACCAATCTGAGGGGTTAAAAATCTTCTGTACAAGTTTTTTGATTGTTTTCGCCATGAAAAAGCTGGCACCAGGAGAGCTGTGTACTTCTTCCCACTTCCCTTCCCTTGGTTCTGTATCATAAACTTGTATGATTGGATGGCACAGCTATGGCTAAAAAGGTGTCTTTGGATGGGCGGCTCATGCCTGCAAATCCAACCGTCAACTGAAGGCTATGGCCATATGATAGAGGGGGACTTTACTGAACAATTTGATGGAGCTTAAATGGACCTGGCAACAATCTAGGCACACAAATTGTTACTAACAGCTGATATGAATGAGTGATACTAGCTAAAATTAGTGTTCCACTTTTTGCATATTTTCGTTTTTTGGGAAATATTGTCAATATATATTTTATACTATAGTGCAGTGATATCTTATAGTTGTTTCTCAACTGCTTGACCTCTATGATGAGGATCAAGACTCAGCCTTCAGTTAGTTGTACACACAGAATTGCTGCTAAATTGCACTTCCACCCCATTGGAACGCAGTGTAGTTGTTTGTGACATCATTGCATGGCACACTTCTCCCCATGGAGTGCAGGAGGGCCTTAAAGACCTAGTGCTGCAGGCTGCCCAGTTGAATTTGTCTATTCTGCATATTAAGTACATCTGTTGTATACATGCACATTTTGCCATGTTTTATTCCTTTGTTGCAGATTGATATGCCAGAAATTAATTGTGCTCTTAGCTTCCTGTTTTGGCTGATAGTACCTCTGCTGCAATTAAATCTGAATCAACCTTGTCAGTCCTGCTTCCTGGACTACAGAACTTCGCCTATCCCCACCCCTCTCTGTCTCACTTCATGGGCATGTATTGATTTCTTTCCCAATAAAACATTACTGCTGCCTTGACTTTCTAGATCCTGCCCACACACTGTGTATATAGATAAAGGGCCCTTTGGAGATGTAGTTCTGGGGGGCATTCCTATGTCAATAGAAACTCCCAGAAACTGACCCTACAAAGGTTTTTTGCAAGCCTGGTGAGGCTGTCACAAGAAGTAATGTTTATTGCTACAGGAATAAGGTAAAATAATAATAATCATAATATCAGGGCTTGAGGGGGAGAAGGGCATTTTTGGGTAAATGTAGGTAATACCTGGACATACATTTTAAATTCAGGCTAGCAGTGTACCACTTTTGTTGCCAGCTTGGAGGGTTCAGTGGTAATAGTATACTATTGCAGTATACTGCTGAATCCCAGATTTGTGGGTTACTGGGTGGCAGGTGACCTAGGGAGCTGTACATTTACCTTTTTTTTACTACTCTTTTTTTTTTTTTGCAAGTAAACCTGTTTGGATTTTGTTAATGATATGGTCGCTTTAAAAATAGATCGCCTTAGAAAACCTGTCAAGTGTGCCTTAAAAATGTTCCTATTATTCTGTTGTATTAGCGATTTATCCCTTGCTGAGACCTCTATGCCTGGCCTATATAAGCAGATATAATCACTGCGGACAATCCTTATCAGATAGCTGAACTCACTAAATACCTTTTCCATCCACAAAGGTGCTTTATTCCGTACAGCCGACAATAGGATAAAGCAGATGAATGAATTGGCGGTATTTAAGGCGGTCAAAGATGATAATGTTTCCAATCATGCAATGCAGATTAACATGTGGTCCTGTTACAAGCAGCAATGACACCAGGCACTGAGCAAGAAGGGGAAATACATCATAGATGGGAGGGGACACAGAAAACATGTTCAATAACTAAGTGCAATAACTAGAATGGCCACAAGATGTCAGTATATTACCTTAGCCATACAATATCAATAGGCAAATGGCTTATGGAAAATTAACTATATAAATCCTCATCTCACGTTAATGTGATTATTAACTGTGGCTATGAATACAACTATTGTGGCAACACACCTACGCTAAAACACTTTGTAATTTGTGTACCTTTTAGAATTGACCTTCAGCCAGAGGACAGGGATGGCTTGTTAAAAGTGACTAGAGGAGTTATGAATTTGTTGGCTGTAGCTTAGCTTACATGTAATTTCTTACTTTCATTTGACAATACTGGCAGGGCCGCACAGCGAAAATCGCTGCAACTGGGAGGAAGCTATGTTACAGGATGGGCTGCACTCAGGGGGGGCTCTAAGGCTTTAACAAGTACTATTGACCATTGACTGCCAAGCAATTACTTTGACTTACCAATCAGAAGGTAGAGAGCCATCTAGTGTACTTATAGAAGTGACTTAACTTGGTCAATTTCTGCCTCACAAGAAGAACATGCATTTTCTTCTCTTGAACAGATATGTAAAGCTGCAGTATGATCCACCTGCTACACCTTTAGCAGACATAATTGTCAGGAAATAATTGTAGAATCAAGATTTTCCTTTGGATGCAAGGTCTTGACAGCTATGGTCCAATCCTGAAGGATTTCTCTCCATGTCTTAGTTGGCTGTTATGGTAAAGACTGGTTCTCACAACAAATCCCCAATATATTACACAATTTAGTTTATTTATAAATGTAATGCACGATATTATGCAATATTACTCATTCATAGGTAAAGTTATTCACATGAAACACTCCATTAACCTCTTCAATGTAAAATACAATACATCTTTTTGTAATCAGTTATCCATAGCTTTCTAATTCTGTCACTGTTTATTGACATGTTATGTCACATTGCTCCTTCACTTTTATGATCGTTCTTTTGAGCTCGGCATATCTTAGTATAAATACAAAACACAGTTTTTAACAATTCCTTTATTACAAAAAAACCAAAAACAAAAAAGTCCCAAAATGTAAATCCAGTGTCGATCCTATCATCCAGCGATGCCCGTCGACATGACGAAATAAAAAATCCCCGCCGCCTCGACCAAATCATTGTTTATATCGGGCAGTGGGCGAGAAATAAACTGCCTGCTATTGGCTATTTCAAATTACAATAGAAGCTGGCTATTGCTGCCGCTCACTGCTTGCTGTCAATCCAGAGAGGAGGACCTGAGAGAGAACTTTCTCTCTCAGGTCCGCTCCTCTGCAGATTGACAGCAGGCAGTTGTCAGCAGCAATAGCCAGGCTGCTGTTGGCTATTTCAAATTGCAATAGCAGGATGGATATAGCTCCGCCCACTTTCTTCTGTCAATCAGCAGAGGAGTGGACCTGAGAGAGAACTGGCTATTGCAATTTGAAACAAAGAATTGGTCGACGTGGTGAGCGGCAGGATTTTTCGTTTTCGTTTTGTCAGGGTGGCAGGCATCAAGCATCAGGAGGATTTACATTGCTGGGCGACGTGATTGGCACTCGATTTACATTGTGGGACTTTTTTTCTTTTAATAAAGGAATTGTCAAAAACTGTGTTTCTGTGTTTATTTACTATTGAATGTTCATTTCCTGAATGACTATAAGACCCCCTGCCCACAGACCCCCACAACTACCGGGCCAGGGTGGTGGGGAAAAAAGGTCCTTCCCAAGTGGCCTGGTATGGTTCAGGGGGGTGCATGCAAGTAACAAAATGTACATGTCTGCAGCACTCCTCACTATACAGTATGTACATTGTGTATGTGCTGTCCAGGCTGTCCGTTTTTTTCCACATGTCCCAGATATTCTTTCTGTCTCAGAGAATTTGTTTAAACGCACAGACTTTGTGTATTGTGTTTGCAATCTGTAATTATGAAGGTAGTTTTGTTCCTATCTTTATATACTGTATATATTACAGTATATATAAACTTGCTCACTCTTCTTTGTATTCCTGAAGAAGAGTGGAGCTCCTTTTTGAAATGCAGTTTATTCTTTTCAACTGTACACTTGCTTGTTGCTGCTTGTATTTCTGAAAAGGGAGTGGAAATCGTGTCCGAAACGCATTGAGTTTCTTTTTTATAAAATATTTTAACTTTTTGGTTGAGTATCCTGAGACTCTTTTTTATTCTTGGGTAACTATCAACCCATTACACAAGCAATAACCTGTTTGGGCTTACAACACAAGGCTTGATTTTTGAAAGAGGATAAGAAAGAACAAAAGAAAAATTATACAATAATTAAATAAACTGGCAATGCATTTAGAGTCAGATTTGATTTTTGATTCCAGCTATGTGATATCAAGATAGCTTTTGGGCAGGTACAATATATGGCCAAATGTCCGTGGACAACTGCCAATCTGGCCTATTGATAAATGACCAAAATTTGGAGTACACCCCTCCCTGCAAACACATTTTACACAACTGAACACTTCCAAGCTTGTGATAACAATTGGAGAAAAGCCCTTTACTATATCAGGACATTGTACCCGAATCCAGAGCTAGGTCCATAAAGACATGTTTGACAAGTGTAGCATGAAAGAACTCAAGTTGCCTGCACATGTCCTGCCATAAACCCTACTAAACATTGAGATAAATCAGAATGCTGATTGTGGGCCAGGTCTTCTCATCCAACATCAGTGTCCAAATACACACTCCAAAAACGTGTATGATTTTTTTCCCTGAAAAGTAATAAAAACATTTTTTAAAAAGCTTACCGTATTTTGCGCTCCGTAAGGCGTACCGGACACTCGGGTCGGGTCTCGCCTCCGGCTCCGCCCCCAACTACCCCTCTCTGCCTGCATAAACGTAGGCTGTTCACTTGCTCGACGTTCTTGCAAAGTAGTACGTCGAGCAAGCTACTTAGGAACTGAACAAAACCTTGGAACAGGAGAGCCTTCTACAGCCTCTTTGAACCCCTGGCTCTATTATTCTTGGACTCCTCGCAGAGTGGATTCAGCATCACATCCTG